TGGCCGGACTCCCTCCGAGTTGTGACAAGAGCAAAAGAAGAATTGCTGTGGCAACGTAAAGAGCTTGAGTAGCCCTTCTTGGGGGTGCATGCGAGACATAGAAATGAAGAAGAGGGGTTAGGTTGTGGACGGTACATTCTGGAGCCTCGTTTCAGGAGGTTTCAGGTTGCCGCCTGCGCTATGTGGTAACAATTGAAGCAACTATTAATACTCGATCTACTGAAGACACTTTCGTGGAGCCACTTCTTTTTCCTGATATTATATCTCGCATTGAAAATCGAAGGCAAGGTCCGCAGGAAGGGTGGGTAAGGGGCTCCAGGGAGAGGAACCCTTCTGTGTGTCCACGGGTTGGAGTAAACGGCCCAAATGCCGTAAACGATGGTTCGAAGTGAAGACGAAAAACAAACTAAATAATGTCGAGCTCCAGGTATGAGCTTGGGGTTGAAGCATCATTTTCCAAGTCGCACAGCATCAGCCCGTTGAACGGGGTAAACGTGCGAAACGTCAGCAAGAGGACAGACGTGCTTCGAGCCCTAAATAGGGCGCTTGGTGGTTGATGCTCAGAACCTCAGTAACACACGTCTGCCTTGACGTGAGCGCCCTGTCGGAGCCGGCGCGATCGGAAACAACGTTCAACCTATTTCGCGAAGGCACATCGCTTTCTGATTCCTAAGAGACGAGGCTGTTTTGAACGAAGCGCTACATAGGACTTCCATCGTCAACTTGTGTGACCAAAGCCTCGGGTCCTACCATCCCGCAGTCTAGGGGAGTGTTGGGGAAGTACAAAACCTTCTACAGAAACACAACAGGTGATGACAGGAATGATGGTAGGCCCAGAGTGATCGCTCGAACACATACCCGTTATACGGAGGGGTTCTGGCCAACCCGACTCCTAGTTGCGTTTCGCGGCTGAAAGGGGATGGTCAGCCGACGATCAATGGTGGTACGAGACAACAACTCAACGTGACGTCCTCACCCAGTCCTCACACGACCAGCACTATTGGAATTTCACTTTGGACGTCCAATAGACGTCCCATTGGACCCCATTGGAACTCCAAAATGTCCCATGGAACACTTGGGATGTCCAATTTTCAATTTTGGACATTGAAGTCCCACGAATACGACCGATGAGATGCCTTGGACCCCCAGCTGGACTTCCTACGCGATTTAGCGCCCAGTCACACATGAGCCAAACAGATGTAGGCAATAGTACGCATTATCTAGATGGGATGCGGCTATCAGTTGTGAAGCTGTGTTTCCTGCCAGGTGATTGGTAATGGGCAGGTGATGGGGGTGCCATCCGTCGGCGCGGATGTCCAATGGGACGGCCCACGTGTCCGATTGGATGCCCCAACGTGTCCCTTGGAACGTTTTAGACGTCGAGTGAGAACCCTCATGGGATATCCAACGGCGTGTCCCATGGCGTGCCACGCCATTGGACGTTAACGTGTCCCATTAGACGTCTAACGGCCCGTGGGACGTCCAACGTGTCCCATGGGACGTCCCACGTCCAAATTGGACGTCCTGCGCGTCCCATAGGACGTTTTTTGCCCTACAATGGTGTCCCATGTGACGTCCAACGTGTTCCTTGGGAAGTCCAATTTGGACGTCCATCGTGAAGTTCCAATAATGTAAGTGCCCCCCACGAATGATGCTCCGAAAAAAATCGAACAGTGGACATTTACATGATTTACATGTACGCAACCGTTTTACCCGAACATATTCATATATACAAGGCTCCCCTTCGGAAGTTTCGCGGCTTGCCTCCCGGATGTGACGCAAGAGGACGTGGCCAATGTTTCACGGTTTGCAGCGTTTCATCCCAACGTTCGGTAGTGCCAATTTCCGTCGAAACTGCAGAATATCTGGCATCACGTCATGATTTGCTTGGGGGGAACTTTGGATTTCTCACCGTGACTTTTTAGGGTAATGCGTGAGCGTGTGTGCGCTTTAGCCTATATAGTAGCATCATTGCCAACGATCCTGCCGCTGTAACCCGGTGTTTTTTATCACTCCCTCTTCCGTTTTGCAACGCGTTGCTCATGGCGTGTGTGTCTCGCGATTGATTCAAAAGGGTGTCCTGTTCCCTGCCAAGAGTTTCGCGGCGCGGAACGCGTCCCCGGGGTATAGAGTCAATCCTCGCGACTTTAGGCGTCGATTTCACGCGCCACGGGTGCCTGGCGGCCCTCGGGTGTGCGCGGTTATGTATTGACGAGTCCCGTACGTGAAAAAAGGATTGCGGCCAGGCACCAGAATAGAATATCTCTCGCGAGCGAAAGATGTACCGAAGCACAAACAACATGGAAACCATACGCATGCATTCATAGCATCTCTATGTGCTCCTCGATTAAGTCACGCCCTCCGAACCCCTCGACGCGATGCACAACATGAGGTCCTCAAAAGAAGAAGTGCTTACCAGGCGCCCCACCCCAAGGAAGGTTGAGAACGTCTGCGTCTATCGTACACTACTCATCCAAACAAGACAAAACGGCTCACCCATCCCCACACCATAGGATGCCGTGTACTGTAACTACTTGCCAAAAACGTTCGAGGATACAAGATGGTCATGAAAATGACACCCCCGGGTCATGCCCTGAAACTACTACAATTGTATGGGGCGGGCTTGCTGTCGACTTGGCGTGTACCAAGAGACGACGCGGTGGGGAAGTAAGAAACAGCGTGTTGATTCCCTTTCCTGGTCCCATCTCGGAAGATCACGCCCCGTATTCGTTCAAACTGCGCTGCAACAACAGACTCGTACCTCACCAGCCACAAACAAATGCCCACCCCAACACCGACAAGACCCAGGACTACTTCAAAACATGGCAACGCCACTGTGTTCGTTGCCTGGTCTATCCCGGCAGATCAGCAAGAAGTTCTTCCCCTCCAATATGTTGTTGTCCCCCCCCCCCGGCACCACATTTTGCCCGTAATTACCTTGGAGGCGCCGGTCACAAAAATACAATAGAAGACACTACTGCTGTTTAAGTGGTACGATTCGTCGTCTCGTTTTCTTATTCGCAATGGTACTTATATATACGGGTCGTCAACACACGCACGTAATCACACTACTACGACTTGAGTTTGATACCCCCACCCCCTATATATCGTGCCTAACCCCTCTCCTAAACCATTCGAGCGTGCCTTCTACACACGGGCGCCATGCTACTACGGCACACCACACGAGAAAGAACACAGTATCACTTCTCCGGCGCCAGTAGAAATTCCTCGTGTCCGCCAGTAGAACTTCCTCGTGTCCGCCAAAAACATTGGCGAATTTACAAGTGCAATGCACTGAGGACTCGCGTGACCCACAGACCCGTTGAAAACAACGTCGAAGGTTGTTGTGATATCCGTTGCAATATACTGTCGTCGGCGTGCATGTGGTGCTGATGCTCTTTGGTGCCGCCCACAGGACTGACTCTAAAGCTCGCCACGGCGCAACCATGCTCGAAGCAAACAAAATACTGCTGTGTGCAACGCTTCTACGATTATTGCCTCTGTTCTCTCTCACGACCAAAAATGGCACCAGATCCTCTTGTCCTCTGACATCACCCCAAGCCAGACACACACGCAACGCAAGACACGTTTCTCCCTCGTCTGATTCTGCTTCGACCTACTTAAGTAATGGTCGCGCGCGTGTAAACGGCGTCATCAACGAGTACAACCTACGACCGGCTGACCAAAAACTCACGTACACGACGGTATATAAACACAGAAAAGGTATATAGCTAGCGCTAATCGTTTGCGGGAAAAAGCGTGGGCTTACGTAGAGAAAGATAATCGCGCGAGGTTTGCCTATCTCTCCCACACCTCAACCACAGCGTGTGAAACCGGCAACCCGGTGGGGAAACAACGAACACACGTAGAAAACTATAACAGAACGACTTTCGGCGAAAAGTGCTTCAACCTTACAGCTCTTTGATTACCCGCGCACATCCCTCGCGAACTACTACTACGAACAGAAACAGGTGGTGTTATTCCCTTGTAGAATGACAACGACAACACGAGCAGTCTGAGATGAAAGAAAGACAACGCGAAAGGTTTTTCTAACGCTCTTGCACTTGAACTCGTATAAACAATTGGCAACCCGGAGGGGGTAGAGACAACGAACACACGTAAAGTACCATTTGATACTTACGAACCACTTCCGGCGAGAGGTGCTACAACCAAAGAGCTCTACAGGCTATATCTGCGCACACCTCTTCGCGAAGGGAAAAACAATAATAATAAACAACAAGTGGCGCTGTTCCTCGTAGAGCAACAGCGACAATACGAGCGGCTGAGTTTGAAAAAAACATGCAAAACTCCGGCCTATTCTTGTTCCCGCCCGTCAACCAGGCCGGCAAAAACGCCGATGTCTACTTCCGCCCCATGTTTACCGAGACAGTACTCCTCTCACCCCCGATATTCTCGACCACAGTTTCACAAACATCACATCGATCGTTCCAACGAGGTCACCAACGAAAAGACGCTAATCGTGTCTGTCCGTGTGTGTCTTTTTCAGTAGCATCGACCGCACTAACCAGCTGACCAATGAAACGACGTGCGTGTGTGTGTGTAAGCTAAGCAGCTGGGGTTCTCCTTGCCTGAGAACGGTACCGCACGAACAGACTTGAGATGGACAAGGGTACGCACCACACGCAAACACAATCTGTTGTTCCTACCCAACGAACAAACAAAAATGTTTTTAAGGACGCATGCATCTCCCGCCGCTCGGCCAAATACATGATCCAGCCCAAACCGAACACTACACGAACTCTTGCCACGCGGTGGCATGAAGAACCCAACGAAAGTGTGTCGGAGTTCGCGCATCCATTGTCCAAGGTTTCAAACCCAATATACATCCCGAAAAGAGCACACGACCGCTACCACCACGACGTCGCACGTTCTCATTGGGCATACACCCATGAACGTAATTGAAAACAAGTCGCGAAAATGCACCCCCCACCACGAACGACAAAAACGAACGACAACGACAACTTTCCCCTACAAAATATCAACAGCATCTACAGCTAGAGCGACAGCGACACCTTCCGCCGCCAGAACAACTACAAGATAAGATAAAACAAAACGTCGCGGCGTGGGCAATACCGCGTTAAAACGTTCAGAATGTTTCCGGTAGGATGTCTGAAGCCCCGACAAGCATAGACGAAAGGAGTCCAACGGGGTTTCACCGTTTTCCCGGCCCACTTGGATTGCTTGCCATCTCTCTCTCTAGATATTTGCGCTTGCGCCTGCCCTGCTCGTTCGGCGCGCGCGGACATGATCAAGATGGAAACACGCGATACACACACAAGCGAACGTTATGCAACACGTGCCTCTCTTTAGATGAACGCACAAAAAAAAGTACAAGTGTGTTCCGGGTTAAAAGTACTGGCATCCGGAAACCTGCCGACGGGGTGGGTGGCAATGACGAAGGTGGGTCATTCGAAGCGCGATCTCGCTGACACAACAGCAAAAAACAAGGCCGACAACAAGGTTACGGTCGTGGAACTCTACTCGTTGATTCGTGCATAAAGAAGCACCAGAATTCAACCCGAGGGGCATGCTCCTTTCAAATTAAGGTCGAATCTAGAAGATAACAACGTGCCCGAACAACCTGATCAAATCCGAGAACAAATATACCGATGTACGTGCTTTGAGAACACACATTTGCGGAACGAAGAGCGAGCCCTTGGCCCCCGACTCCCGCCGGCCTCCTACCCACCTGATAGAGTTAACTCACCCAAACGACGAGCCGGGCCTGTCCACGGTCCGCCGACGGGGTAGGAGTTCGGGGAACGTTTGTCCGCCGTGCTTGGAGTCGTCCATCCCGGCCAGCTCCTGCTGCTTGCTCACACGGATGCCTGTCAAGAACAACCAGAAAAGCAAGAAAAACGCGCCGCCGCCGGGCGACCCAGCGTAAGGAGACTAGACAAAGGTGGCAAGGGAAATGACACTTCCTATGTGGCACTTTGAGGGGGGGAAGGCTGCTGTCGTTGTCGGGCAAAAAGAGGAAAGTGAAAAGTTGGAAGACAGTCTGCTCTCGTTTTCGGCAAGCCTGTTGCTGTGGTGGTCATGATGCTACGGCCGCTGCATTCAGTGTTGGTACTGTGTTATCCTGGGGGCAGAAATGTTGACAAACCACCGAGGCCCACTGCCCGCCTCAGCGAACTGTCAAGAGCGCACCACGAGGGGCAGGAACAGCAGGAAACACTGCTCCCTTTCGTGCGTAGTAGATTGTCCTGATCAACATACATCGGGCAATAGCCGGGCACGTTCAGCAAGGCAAGGGGGGGGGGGGGACCCTGCAAAGCCGCGGATACATCTATTTAGTAGCGTGGCATCGGGGCGTGTTCTCCTCTGTCAACAACATCGCGAACAACAGCAGGGCCATCTAAATCGCTCCCCAACCTACCTGCGGTACATGAGCCCATGTTTCCCTGCTGCTATTCTACCTCTCGTCTCTCGTTTCTTTGTTTATTTCTCTTCCTCTTCCGTCTCACCTATGGTCAGCTTCGTCACCACGAAGAGCAAGAGGGTCAGCAAGCCCACCCAGGCCAACACCGCCATCAAGAAGACGATATTCGCCGCGAGAGTGCCGCCGCTGCCGCCGTACAGAATGCCGGCGCACGTGTCCGACCTGTCCTCGGAGTAGGCCATCGCGTAGGCGAACTTGGACGAGAAAAGACCCGCCGAAACGAGGCCCCACATGCCTCCGAAGAGGTGCACGGGGGCGGCGTTTACGACGTCGTCCAACTGGAATGTGGAGGGGGGAGTTGTTGGGAGCGGCGCTCAGTATGTTATTGGAGATCGAGGGCTCCAAAGGTTGCTTACTACCTTGGACATGGCGTGGGAGGTCTTGTACTGTAGTCAATGGGCCCACAGACACACAGGTTTGACCAGTTAGTTGTCCCTGTGAGCCTTCGAAGGGCGTGCCTACGCGCGGAATCATTTCTATGCCCCTTGGCGACCCCTGAGAGATGCCGCCAACCTGTCGCGGGCGATTATCATGATCATGGCCCCTAATGTGCCTGACATCGTCGCAGGCTACCTACCGCCCTGCTCTTGCCGGCCACAAACAAGAGACCTTTGCTAATGCTTTGTCTACTGTCCACGCACACCTTGACTCGCACAACAAATGAAACGTGACGTTGGTGGGAACAAGTAGCCCAATCCCAAAGCGGTCAACAAATACTCCTCTCGCCTAAATATCTAGGGAAAGGATGGGTGCAAACAAAGATAGACGGATCATTCCCTTTACGACCTCCCGTAGAACAACGCCAATATACAGGGAAAGGATTGGTGCAACCAAAGATGGATCATTCCCATCTCTACGACCTCCCGAAAAACACCGCAATAAGAACAGCTGACGGGTGTTTGTTGACGTTAAATAGATACTTGAATTAGATGCAGTTTTCCCTTTCGACCTAGCACAAACAAGGTAATGAGAACAGCAGGCAACAGGCGGGTGTTTGTTACCGTTCAATAGATACTTGAAAATGCTCATTTTGGGGGAAGTAAATGTCGCGTCTTCAGTTCGTCTTCAGGAAAAATGAATACACTCCCTCGAAGAACAAGAGAAACGGGGATGGCTGTGTACCAGACCCTCATCGCATTACATGTCTCACGTGATTCCTGAGCAGCAAGTTGGACGCGAAGAAGTACAACACACCGCCCAGGACGCCCACGACGAAGGCGCCCTCGGGCTCGTAGGTCCCCGAGCCGGCGGTGATGGACACGAGGCCGGTGAGGATGCCGTTCAAGGCGCTCCCGGTGTCCCAGTACCCGCACTGCAGCTTGTTGACGAGGAGGGAGGTGATGCCGCCGGAGGCACCGCCGATGACCGTGACCCCCATCACCTGTAACAACCACGACATCAGCAGCAGTTATTTCGTTCACGGCGGGGAGGGGGCGGTGGGGGGGCAACACATCAGGGTTTGCGAGCGGGTTTTGTAGAGATACAAGCGGGGGGGGGGGGGGGGTAAAAAAAAATGGGACAAAACCCAAAAAAA